ATACATACATATATATGCCCAGAAGGGTGGAATAGGGGTGGGCGTGACCGCATGGTAGTGTGTAGCTGCATCAGTTTTCACTGGAGACGCCTTTGACGCATCTCTCTGGGCGTTTTCGCCGTCTTTCCCTCTTCTTCCCTCTTTCCCCCTGCGGAATAGACGTCCGGCTTCCGTCGCAGGCATGCGGCAAAGACTTAGTTCACATAAGTAACTTGCGCCTGCCACCCGCAGGAGGCAGGCGGGCATTACTGCCGCCGCTGCCACAGGCAATGAGATGTCAACGCAAGCGCCAGCCAACACTTCCACGGTGGCTAGGAGTTTTAAGGCGCATGCTTCGCAGGTGTCGTCGCTGCTCTTTTCCACATCCCTCCTCTCCCTTCGCTCCCTCAACCGCCACCACCGGGGTGTCACTCGGTTCCCCCTGCAGCCGAATGCAGTCGCTGCCGGGTGCTGTTTTTTTTTGTTATTTGTCCTTGTTGTGGTTGTGGTTTTTTTTCTGCTTTTGCCTTTGCCTCACCCTTCTCCTCCTCCTCCTCCTCCCCGGGTCGCTATGCCTAGTTGTGTCTGTGCCTTGAGGCTGAGGCCGATGCTGCGGCGGGTGCGGTGGCCCACGAAGGGCGCTCGGGGCAGGCGCGTCTCTGCCTACGCGGCGCTGCTCAGCTGCCTGCTCCTGCTGCTCTGGCTGCTCTGCTGCTTCCTTTCCGCCGCGCCAGTGGACGGCGGCGAGGATGCGGTGGCGCCGCCGCGGGCACCAGGCGGGGTCTTTGCCCGCGCACCTGGAGGCGGCGTGAACGAGGCCCGGCGGTGGGAGACGCCGCGCGGCGGTGCGTCGGAGGGTGGCTTGCTTGCTGGCGGTGGGCAGGCGCCGGCGGTGTGTCAAGCCTCCGTTTGCCGCTTCTGCGACGAGATGCGACTGAACAACGCGGCGAGCGTCCTCCACCCCGCGGTGCTGGAGTACCTCCGCCGCCACGTCCTCATTGGGGTTGTCACCGGCGCTTATGAGAGGTTCTTCCGCGTCGACGTGGGCCTCTGCACGTGGCTGGGGCACGTGCCTGCGGCGAGCCTCTTCGTCTTTACCGACGCCGCAAACACCTCCGCAGGGCGGCACGGCACGTGGGTCGAAAGCGACACCGCCCCGGCCCCGCAGCGGGGGCGGCGCGGGTTGCTGCGGCGCACCGGGTACTCAGTGGGGTGGCTGCGGGCGCAGCACCGCTTCTTTCACGCGATTGGGCACCTTGCAGGACTCGCCGGCGGCGCGGCGCACCGCGAGGTGCGGTGGGCGATTGTCATGGACGACGACTCGGTTCTCGACCTCCACGCGCTGGTGCGCTTTCTGCACCGGCAGGACTTGCACAACGTGGCCGGCGTCGCCGCAGCCGTGCGCGACGCGGGGGGGGCTTCGCTGCTGCAGGAGCGTTGCAACCGACGCGCCGACTCCCAAGCAGACGACGTGGCCGCGTGCCTGTCGCTGCCGGAAAGATGGAACCGCCTGCTGCAACAGCAAGGGCCGATTCATGAAGAGGATTTCTTGCGGCCCGGGGGCGCGGCGCTGCAGGTTGGAAGTGCGTCTTGGAATGCCACGACACACGCGCTCCTTGACCCCGCGACGATCGCCGCGCTCACCCCGCAGTACCTTGGAGACCGCGGCTGGGGCGGCGCCGGCCACTTCATGAACCTCGCGGCCCTGCGCAGCTACGCACAGAAGGGCGAGGAGACGTGTGTGCGGAGGTTCCTGATAGGCGGGCAGCTGCCGAGCGACGCCGCGCTCTACCGCTGCATCCCCCTCCTGGGAATCCAGCGCCGCAGGGACGCCGCGCTCTCGCACTGCCAGGCCCGCTACCTGCGACACCGCCTGCTAGATGGCGAGCTAGTCAGCATGCACGCAAAGCGAGACATGGTGCCGCCCAAGTACCTCGCCCTGTGGCGGATGGGGCTCTACTACCAGGTGCTCTACCACCACAACCGCACCGCCTACGACCTGCTGATGCGTGTGGGGGCATGCGCGTACGGCTACTCGTGCAAGTTGCGCGGCTGCGGTGTCGACGAGGACGCAGCGGCCCTGAGCGAGTTCGCCCGCCTGAGTGGCAATGCCACCCGCATGCCGCCGTTGTAGGGGCTGGGCCATGACGCCCGTGCGCGGAAGCGAGCGAGCGGGGGAGCGGGGCGAGGAGGAAGGGGCGATGGCCCCGTGTGCCTTTGCGCCGCTGCACTCCCTGCCTCCTCGCAGAGGGCGGTGGTGGGCTGGCTGGGGGGGCTTTCACCACCTGCAGCCCCTCGCTTCCTCGTCCTGTGCGTGCCTGCAGGCGCGAAGGACGTGCTTCCTCGTTTCTTCCCCCCCCCCTTTTTTTTTCTCTAGCACGCCATGACGTGCGAACCGTCCCCCCCGCCTCCAATTCTCCCCCTTCCCTTGTTTCGCTTGCCCTTTTTCTTCTTCCTCCACCCTCCACCCCCTGCCGCCTTCATTTACTCCTCCCCGTGCTGCTGCTGCTGCTGCTGTTGCTGCTGCTCTCTCCCTTTCCCACCCACGCCGTCTCTCGTTGTGTGGCGGCGCCGCAGAAGCCTAGCACGGAAGGGAGAGAGCGGGGAGCCTAAAAGACACAGACAGACAGAGAGGGAGAGTAGCCGTGTGCGTGTCTGCCTGCGTGAGTCCGCCCGCCCGCCCGCCCGCCCGCCTGTTGTCGCCCCGCACGACTCGCCCGCCCAGAGGGGGAGACAGGCGCACGCACACAGCCGCGAAGGACGCTGAGCAGGCAAGCCAAGGCAACAGCGAGGAGATAAACAAAAACAAAAACAAGAAATATAGACAGGCGCCCACGCATTCAATTGCCTCACGCGTTGCCTCGTCGCTTGCATTTCAGTCACTCCCCGCTACCAGTCGCCGCAGCAGCCCCGTAGCCCCTCACGCACGCAGCTCCTCAAGGACCACAGCAGGGGAAGCCCAGCAGACGTTCCTGCCGCGGTGTGAGCCTTTGGCCGTGACGCTACCAACCGGTTTTCTCTCGCTTTCTTTTTAGTTTGTTTGTCTGTTTGTTGTTTCCGGATCTTGTCCTCTTGCGCCCAACCGCCGTCGGTGGCTCTGCGGGGAGATGCCAGAGGTGGGGCTGGACCGTGCCTTCCTGCATCGCTGCTGCGTGCAGGTGTCCTCGGCCCTCGCCGACGAGGCCGCGGTGGCGGCGGAGGTGCAGCACACCCTGCGCTTCGTCCGCGACCACGCCTGCGACTACCCGGGCGAGATCACGCGCGCGCTCATCTGGCGTGTGGTGGACACCGACAACGACGAGGTGCAGGACCGCTTAGGCGCGTGGTCGGTGCTCAACGCCGTGCTTGCAGAGTGCGCCGACGTCAAGCAGCCGCTCTCCACCACCGCGGTGGCGGAGAAGATTAGCCTCTTCCTGCCGTACCTCATCTCCTACCGCTGGTTCTCGCTCCGCGGGGCGGCGCAGGCGAGTGCGGCGCGGGCGCAGTCGACGCTTGCGCTGCTGCGCGAGTACGACAAGGTGGTGCCGGCCTCCGTGCTCACCGGCGACGACCCCCGCCTCGGCGACGCGCGGCGGGAGCGGGAGCTCCAGGCCAACTACCGCGGCTTTCTCGCCACCTGGAAGGCGGTGTGGCGCCACGACGTCTACCAGCGCTTTAAGGAGGCCGTGCGCCAGACGGAGGCCAGCGGCAACCGGCTCTCGCCAAAGGACCAGCCGTACCTCGACATCCCCGCCACCTTCCGTGATAGTCTGCGCCGCCTGCGCCGCCGCAACCCGCGCCCCTCCATAGCCTTCCACGTACTCAGCTGCTACGGGTGGGTGTCGCCCGGCGAGGCCGCCGCGACGCCGCTAGAAACCGGGCCCGGGGCGAACGGCGGCAATGAGGTCCAACTTAGCAGCAACAACGACTACGCCAAGCGGTGCCCGGCGGTGCCGGCAAGCGTCACGGAGGTTGAGCGGCTCGACCCCGCCGCCCACCCCCGCGTGCGCCAGTGGCTGCGAAAATTAGTCGAGGCAGGCGGTGGGTGTCGGCTATGCGATGTTTGGCAGCACACGGAGGCCCGCTGCCCTTGTGAGCTGCCGTTTGTCAAGGTTCCGCTGCCGGAGGGGGGTTCGCACCTCCACTACCACCGGCGGCGGCGGGTGGAGCGGACTGCCTTGACGTACCTGGAGGCGGTGGAGAAGCTCTTCCGCTACGGCATCCGGCTGCCGCTCTCGCTAGAGAAGACGCTGGACCGCATCGTCTCACTCATAGAGGAGGAGACGTCGTACGAGGAGCTGCTGGAGGCGTTTGACACCGTGCGAGGGGCGGTTACAGGCCCACTGGAGCGCCACGCCCTCTGGCTGCATGCAAGCTACCGCCTGAAGCCCTCGCGGACCGTCTTTGACAAGCCGAGCGACGACGCGCTTAGTCCCGCCATGGAGAAGGCAGAGAAGCACTTTAAGACCCACCGCCGCTTCCGCGAGTGGGATCAGCTGCTGCAGAGCGTTGAAGTGCTCGATAGCCAGTACCGCCGCGCCGAGCTGGCGCCTGGGCTGCGCCGGGACATTGAGGAGGTGCGGGAGACAAAGTCCTTCTTTTTTTGCCTCATCGATGGGTCCCAAACCGCCGAGTACGCCCCTCAGTCCTACGCCCGTGTGCCGGAGGAGGTGTTGCAGCTGCGGCCGGTGAAGGATGTCCTGTGCACCGTTTGCCTTGAGCCGTTTCACGTGGCGGCGCGGTGCCCAAAGGGAAGCGAGCCGTGGGACTTGTCCGTGGCCCGTCTCGTGTTGGAGGAGCACAACCTGCTTAGCATGCGGTTTCCGGAGGAGCGGCACAAGTTCGACAGCGCGCTCCGCAGCATCGACGAGGATGACCGCAAGGCGAAGGAGTTCCGAAAGAAGGAGCTCAGCCTCGCTGTCAAACTCGTGCACGAGGGCCGTGTGCCGTACTGTAAGCTGTGCAACATTTTGGGCCACAGCATTCGCCGCTGCGAAGAGGGCGCCCGCCGCACCCTGCACCGGCACAGCATTAAGGAGGTGGACATGCGGCTCAACCCACACCTTGTGCAGCGAAAACTCAAGCAGCTGCGCGACGCCCACGAGGAACGGGAGGAGCGGTGGCTGGCGGAGGCGTGGGAGCTGCTGGGCAAAGGGCGGATGTACCCTGACAGTTTCCTCACCGCCATACGCGAGCTTGAGGACGCCAGAATTCCGCTCGCGGCGGCGCGCTACAGCACCGACGCGGTTCAGGGTTTTCTGCTCTTTATTAAGTCCAACGACCTGCTGCAGCACCTGCAGCCGCTGCGCGACGAGCGGTTTCCGGAGGTGTGCCTCTTCTGTGACTCCTACCACCACGGCTCCGAGCTCTGCGACCGCGCCAACGCGGAGGAGCGCGGCTTCCTCACCGAACTGCGGCGCTACGGCCTGACGCTGTGGCAGTACCTCCGCGCCCCGGAGCGCTACGACGAGCGCTTCCCCACGGACTACCCGAAGGGGCGTGAGACGGTGGTGGGGCTGGCGCGCCAGTTCGAGGAGGACTACAGCCCCGGCGGCATCGCGCGGGTGCGGTTTCTCGAGAACAACGGCCTGGAGGGGGGCGACACGACGAGCCCGGTGGCCGGCGGCGGCGCGGCGTCGCGCGGCAGCTCGCAGCGCTCCTTCTACGGCGGCTCCTCCTACGGCATGTCCTTCTCGCGGCTCGTCCTGCGCCCCTGCGAAAACGAGGCGGAGGCGGGGCGTCCATGCGGCGGCGTGGCCAACGGCGCCCCTGCGGCGGGCCCTCTCGCCGGTACCCTCGGCGGCGACGCGAAGGCCGCGGCGGCGGGGGCGTTCCGCGAGACAACCGGCGGCCACGGCGGCAAACGGGGCCGCGAGGAGGACGACGACGACGACTCGGCGCTGAAGTCCGGCAGCGGCAGCGGCGCGGAGGAGCCCGGGGACGTCAACGGGGTCGGCCACGCGGCGCAGCGCTTCCGGGTGGAGGCGCCGGGGCGGGAGGCGGAGGCGTGACCCCCCCGGGGGGTCCGGCGGCGGAGGAAGTAATAAAACACGAACGCAAACAGCAGGAAAGAAATGATAATTAAGAACGTTTGACGCAAACAAAAAAACGACAGCAACAACTAAAAACGGAGGAGGACTGAAAAAAAAAAAAGGAAATACAAAGCCAGCGTGCATACACACACACGCGCTCACTCGCTCTCTCTCTCTCTCTCTCTCTGTGCGAGTGGGAGAGCGAGGGAGGAGGAGGCACACGCACCGGCGGCACGAAACAGCAGGGCAAAACAAAAAATAAAAATAAAAATAAATCGGTGGCTGCTGAAGGAGCAGGCGATGACGAGTGCGATAGAGTGATGTTGGACGGTAACGAGGGCCGCTGCATTGGCGGTCCCCCCTGTCCTCCCGCCCCCCTCGCTGGATGTGCCGAGACGGGAAGGGGGTGAATGGTGGACAAAGCAAGGCTACACCAGCAACGTTTACCAAAAAAAAGAAGCGGGGGGCCAGCGACGGAGCGGTCGCACACACACACACACACACACAAGCACGTGCGGTACAGACATTCATAACGCAACGTCAGTGCAGCAGCGACTCCGTGACCCGTCGCCCAAGCGGGGCGGATAGCGATGTGGTGGTGGGGAACTAAAACGCTACGCGGCCGTGACTAGGCACGAAGAGGTAAAAATGCGGTAGACGCC